TTTCCCTACCAATCCTACAATATATATTTCCCTTTCTTTTGTTCTTTACACATTTTTGGAGCCCTAGAATAGTGTCAACAATTTTGAGAGAATAAAAACAAACTACCCCTAGATTATACAACGTCCTCCAAAATAATAGAGCAACATAGAAAATTTAGCCAATGGTATGAAAACTAAAATAAACATAAGAAAAAATATTTCTTACACAAAAATGAACCCTTGCATAAAGAAATGAATCACATCATGGCACCAAAAAATCAATGAATCTCTTCATGTTCAAGTATCCAAAATACTTGAGAAAAAATTGTAATTTCAATCTCAGACTATCTAATATGTCTGATAGTCATTTTTTTCCGCAAATTTGACAAAAATAATCTTTTTAATCCTTAAATTTGATCTAAAATAATCCAACAAGAAGATTTTTTTGAATCATATTTGAAAAGTCAATGAACAATATTAAGCACATTAAGAGTTTTAATCCATAATGGCACCATCAAAAGAGTACAGGAACTATTTTGAACTTTAGCATAGGATTTTCATAATGATTCATGCATATTAATTTTACTAATTATTTTAATGTGAACCTGAAATAAAGCCAACACATCAGCAAATAAAATATCTTAAGCAAGTACTACTAACGCGGGAGTGTCTTGCTAATCGCGGGACTGTGGATCCCGTCTTCACAATCACTAGGATTATGACATATCGCAGAAACTACTTCCTCCTGCGAATATTAGCGAACCGAAACGCGCATGATGCCAGCTCAATTTGATTTATGCATAAAATTTTTCCCTTTTTGATTTATTTTCTATTCCTTTATTTTCTATTCTTTTATTTTCTATTTATTTATTTGCTATTTTTCTTATTTCTATGTAGGACTTTGCTTGAAAAACTTCTTATGTGTTGCAACTTTATGGCTTGGAGGATTTTTTATTTTTTTTTAGCTTAGGGATAAAATTCTACCACAATTTCTAGCCTGAACCCTAATATTTTAAAAAATCCAACTTTCCTAATTCAATAAAAATTCCACCCCAACACCTATCCCTTAAAACCAAAACCCTTGAACAACCTTGATTTGCAATCCTACATCCGTTGAAAATGTGATCTTGAGAAAAGGACGTCAAGCCACTAAGGAGAAACCCCCAACGAGGTTTTCAAGAACTCACCATGGAAGATATGCAATTAAAAATCCTTCAAATGCAATAGAGGTTTGCCGCCTTTGGATGACACAATCCAAAAATGTCACCCGTAGCCACAACAATGACTCATCAAATTGAGAGGAAGTGAATTCCTTCCACCAGGCAGTTCCCAGTGACGAAGAACCACTACCTCAATGATTCAACATGGAATACCATAAGAGAAGCTAAAATTTTGGAGTAAAAGTGGCTTTATTGGATTTCGATGGTCGTCTGGATCCTGATGAGTTTATCTGGTGACTTCAAACAATGGAGCAGACTTTTAAGTGCACGGATATTCCTCAGGATAAAAGAGTTAAATTGACATACATCAAACTCGGGAAAAATGCTTCATTGTGGTGGGAGAACTTGAAGCGTATTCGACAGTGATAATGGAAGGGTCATATCACCACATGATCTAAAATGAAAAAGAAGGTGCAGCGCAAATACCTTCCCCCAAATTACCACCATAATATATTTATAAAGCTCCACAACCTACATTACAGAGACAATTCTGTGAAGGAGTACACAGCTGACTTTGATCAACTTATAATGAACTGTGAGTTGATAGAACCCGAGGAGCACATAGTGACAAGATATCTTGAAGTTCTGAGATTGTCCATTAGGAATGTGGTGCAGATGCAGTTGTATTGATCCCTACTTGATGTATAGACTCTAGCATTAAAGGTGAGAAAATAACGACATCATACGACCGCCACACCTTATCGAGAGAATTCATTCACAAGATTATACACCAAAGGTATATCCAATAATGCACCCAAGCCGACCAATCCAGAGGAGAAACCAATACAGAATGGGATAAAAGCAGAGATTACCAATACTTCTAAATAGAACCTAGCAAGATAATGTTTCAAGCACCACGACTTTAAGCACATTGCATCGGATTGCCCAAACAGGACGATGATCTCATTCACGGAGCAAGGAGCAATGAAACATATAGACATTAACTCAGGAGACAGTAGAGAAGGTGAGAAAGTCAAGGAGTATTAGCTTGTAGCTGATAAGGGTGAGATGCTGGTGAGTCAAATTAAGTCTATAAGAGAGGCTTCGCAAGACTAACTTTGATTCTCCTAGAAAATAGTGAGTTTGAGGTAATGGAGAATTTTATAGAGTTTTAAGTTATGATGTCACACGCTACTTTACGCAGGCGTTAAGAAGATCATAAGCATGACTGGCATTGGTTGACCAAGAGGATCAAGAATTTAAGGAGCTAATATCAAACACAAAGCAACCCAATATAAGAGAATTTCAAGCTTTTTAGACGTACAATCTACTTTCAGACCTGCAACTACTGCAGAAATTCCAACATTTAAAAGATGAGAAGCTTTTGAGCTATTTTTAGAAAACTATTTGGAGTAATTTGAGTACTAAATCTAGTTCAACTGTGCACCCACCAACAAATGGTCGATAATGGGGATGAGCCACAGTGTTGAAAATTGCCTTAGGAGCTTTGTGAGAAAGAATATCTGACATTTAGATCCAAATTTCCATAAAAGAAGATAAAGGCTCTCCTAGCCAAGGAGGATGATGCAGAAACATCCCGCTAATCACTGAATCGGGATTTCATCTTCCAGATAATTTGGGTTATGTGATATAGCAAAAATTGTTGTCTTAAGCATCAACGAACCGAAACATGCACGATGTCGTCCCAATTCAATTTCCGCAAGAAATTTTTCCCTTTTTCATTTATTTCCTATTAATTTATTTCCTATTTTTCTTGTTTCTAAGAAGGATTTTTCTTGAAAGACTATTTGTGCCGCTATTTTCTGGTTTGAGAAACTTTTGATTTGTTTTAAGTTTAAGAAGAATGTAAACTTTATTTTCTACCTTAAGGAGTATTATCTCATTTTATTTTGCAAATTTTGTGCATATATCTTTCTCAGGAACAAGTGGAGAACCTCCTTGCCGCCCAAACGTCGCCACTTCAGAGTTTTCTTTGTTGTAATTGGTCGAGACAGCCGCTTACAATGTTGAACCTGCTGTCCAACAACAAATTTATCCTTGCAATCCTGTCCGAACGCCATTGAACTTGCATTTACATTTCCCTTGACATTCCATAACCACATCTCCGCTAAATCTCATTCCAAAATACCTTCTAGGAACCCAAGAGCAGTATCATCTACCACCTTAGATTTCAACCATTTAAACCTAAAAAATAATAATTTGTCCCCCATCACAGGGCAGATTTGTCCACATTCATTATAATAGTATTTACGAAAGGAAAAGAAAAAATGCTCAAAAAAAGCATAGCACTGCAACTCAATTCATTCTCTCAACAAGTTTCACATATGAAAGCTAGAAGCCTAAAACCCCATCTATCATTACAGATGCATGCCAGTGTGCATTATGTACAGAAATACAGCACGGACGTGACTAAACATGATTGTTTTGCCGAGCATGTGATAAGAATGTAAACGGATATTTAATCATCAAAGAGATAGTGCTAAAGAAAACCATGCGCAAGCACATAAAATATAACTGGAATAAAGCTGGACACTTGAGAACCGTTTGCTCACATTTGTTCGTCCTGTGGTAGTTTTTCAGTAAATTTAAAGCTTACACAGCCACAACTGAACATGGGACAAAACTAAGCCAAAAATATCATAAAGCAAAATAGTACTGATCAAAGGTTTAGCATCCTCTATGTCAATCAAACGCACCTTTACCATTGTATCCCTCATAAAATCATACTCAAAGCGTTTTAGCTGGAGTTGCAAAACTGGAGGGAAGTCGATAAAGAGTACACCCTTCTTAGCATCCTGAAATTAATAAGATGGCAGCTGAAAAAATAAGTAATTAAAATAAAACTGGAAATCCATATGAAACAGAGCAACACAAGACTATAATAATAAATAGAATATGTGCAACAAGCATGCTTTGTTTTCCATCAAATAAAAACATAGATATTATGCTCGTTGCCTCCCCTTCGTCATATCTAACCTTAGTCCGAAATAGACATGCTTCAACATCATGAACAAGAATAATTGGAACTTTGCTGTTGTTTATAAAGTTAAGCAAAAGTTCATGATCATAAAATTACAGACCTATGCTACATATAGTTTCGCCAAAAATTTTTGTGCTTCAAGCATGTTATTCAGAAGATTTTAACATACCGTGCACAATCTTAATTTCTAATAGCTGAACCAGTTTTCTTCAAAGGGACAGAAGGATTCAAAAACCGCCATAGAAAATGCAGCTTAAACTTATAGTCAATCATATCCTAATTTGTAAAATCATAGCTTCTTCAATCTTTCAAGTTATTGAAGCTTGCACAACTTACCAGCATCCATAAAAATTTCAATGTTGCATGAATTCCAATAATATCAATGTGAAGTAAATTTTCACATAAAAGCTAATTAGATGCCTTGACCACTGCCTCTAGAGTTCTGATTGGACTGTCATAATTTAATGGGCCTATTTTAAAAAATATTATTGTCCAAAAAAAACATATCAACTTCATTTTGAAAACACTAGAAAAGGTTAAGTTCCTATGACTTAAAAATGTCACACAGAAAAATTTTCACAAAGGATGAAATGAAAATTATAAGAATGAAAAAACTAACCTGTAAACCATATTGTTCTGCGTGATACTTGTTGTCTCCTTCAAGACGCTCGACTTCAACATACTTATCAAAGGAAGCATAAACATCACGACAACCTTTGACATCAAGTTGAAGGTCTAAAGAAGGTTCATAAGCAATTAGCAAGATTGTATATTCACGTTGTAAATCATAAATGCTCTTAAAGTTCCAAAAAATTACATATAAATTCATTTATAGTTACCATAAAATGACTCCTTCCGTCTAGATTTGTAATCAACATTAATGCACTCAATATAGTTCATGTGGTGACCTTCAAATAATTGTTGTATAGTGCCCTCAACAACAGTTCCCTGAAAAATATATATTGGCATGCAAATTTCAAAATCAAAGAGAAATGTTACATTATTGACCTCAAACCTTCATCTTATCTTCCAGCTTCTCACAAAGAACCCTATTAAGTTCTTGCACATCATGCTGCATGAATGAGTCATACGTATCCCATCCAAATGATTTTGTCAATTCTTTTGTAGCCACACTACTATCACTGTACTGAAGCTTATAAAATAAACTCTGAAGAGCCAAAGGGATGCTTCCAGAAGGAATATCATTCTCAGTCGTAGGCATATGATACACAGCCTAAAAGAAGAGATTACAGATATTATTTTTTCCAACAAATAGGTATCATTTACAGCGGATAAATCTCAGAATCGTACCTTTCTAAAATAAGGAATATGGTACAAAGTTTGAAGAAGAGAATTCATATAACAGGTGGCACCTTGATTCTTGAGACCAACATAACCTGTTTCCTTCTTTGAGTCATAAGTCCAATAATCAACCACCTTGCGAACAGCAACCTCAGCTTCAACTACCACTACATCATTTACAAGATAGCCTCTATGTGGGTCATACAGATCACTGAGAGGCATAAATGAAGTAAATCCCCAATCACTTTCCCGGGAATTAAATTGATGCTGAGTATCTGCCATATAAACAAAGTCAGTGATAACTGAAAGTATAAAAGAAAGGAAAATGATCTACTGTGAGATAGAAGAAAAAAAAGTACGCCTATAGAGGATAACTACTCAGTTAATAGCAAGAGATAAAAAACCATCAGGCACACTTTAAACCATGGTAACATCTAAGGGCAGAGCAAAGACAGGGGATGGCGAGCAAATGCTAATTATTATCATTTTTATTAATTAAAATAAAAGACATACGGTTTCAAAGTGAGTTAAAGATACTAAAGCTCGTTTGTGAAAAGTTACAACAGTAAGGTTAAACTGATTCAATCTGCAAGTAGTCTTCGGACTATGTCTTGCTCATTTCGATGATGGTTGAACATTGTCTAAATTACTGCCTTTCTTAAGAACTTGAACAGCCCTTTGGTGGCTACTTGTTTAGATGGTCAAGCCCAAAATGTTTTTGATGTTGAATCAAGCTTAAAATAATATCCTCACTTTCAAGTTAGACCAAATTTGCTCTGCTTGACATAATATCATCCTGATTTTATTTTATAAATTAAAGCTAGAAAAACAAAAGTGTTGCAAGAATAATGGAATTTTACACGGAGGACAGTGAGGCTTGTTGTGGCTAAAGTAGCAGAGTGGTATTAATCCTCTTAGTTAATAATTCAGTTAAAGTAAAAAAACAGGAATAATTTGACCATAAACATAATATTTAAAGAAATATTCATGTTAGCAACTTCACCCCATTAATATTATGTAGGACCACCTCTGGTACCATTAAAATGAAATATTTTGAACAGATGGCAGTGTTAATAAGTAAACAATACATCAAAATATCATCCAAACATAAACATCATAAATTAAAATACGCAAACACAAACCATAGACATAACATACAAATGCATATATAATGACAGCTCTGGAAAGCATAGTGCTGCAAGTAAATTTTCACACTATTTGCTCAGACAAAATAGTACACCGCCATGTGTTCCTGCATACATGTATCTGTTCCATGCATTTGCGTTTCAGTTTCAATTTTTAATGCAAACAAACACCTGGAACATGTACAACAAGTGTTTACCAATATCTGTTCAACATTCAACATGTTAAATCAGTTGTCCTCAGCAACTCTAGCAGCCTAACTCCCAAAATAACAAGTTGAATAAAAAAAAATGTGGTACATATCGTGGATCATAGGCACAATTCAGTTTAGAATTTTTAAGAACATGGCATATAAATTTTCTACAATTTTCAAGTGCTCGCACAAAATACTGCTGAAAACTAATATTAGCACTCCAAAATAAAATGCACATACCTTTTCTTATTGTATACTTGGAGTGCGCTTGATTTGTCACGGCAAGACTAAACTGTGCATATCTACTCCACCCATACGGCAAAGTAGCTGAATCAGCAACATCCAAGTACATGGACAGGTGATCGACATTGTTCCCCTTTGGAAATATCAAAATTCTCCTATCAATATAGTCAATGAAAAAGAATCAGAACATTCTTTTTCCTCTGTTACGATCAAAATGAGAACAGCAGGAACAAGACAAAAATTCAAAAAAGAAGAAAGTACCATTTATAGCCCCCAACGATGAAAATCTCAGAGTAATGCTTCTTAACGTTCAACCTTGAGAAATTCTCAATCGTCCACGTGAATCTGGATGACGAGGGGTCCTCCGACTGCTGATTCTCAGCAGTGCTGGTAGCTTCCGCTGGAACAACTAAAAAGAGAATAACAATGGCAAGAAACATATACAAAATTAAAACAAAGGACCACTTCTCATGCAAGCAATCATCAACTTCAACGATCGCGATCCGCGAAGAGCTCAATTACACATAACAATCCAGACTCACCTTCCATGGGCTGGGGCGCTTCAGGGAACTCTGAGTGGGGTACTAGCATCTCCTCTTCTTCCTTCTGAAAGAAAACAAGGACGAATCAGCCCTTAGATCCCGTAAAACCCCAGCCCCCACAGTACAATCGAAGCCCTAAAATCTAAGAGAGGGCGAAATAAATATCGATCAATCATGTTCACCGGGATCCCCAACGCTCGAGCAGAACGGGATTAAGGAGATTAGGTGGAGACCGCGAGGGTGTAAAAAGCAAATGTGCGGGATAGAAAGGAGATGAAGGCGAGAGGAACGCCATATACATACGTCGACGAGGGGTGGAGTCATCATAGTCATGGATGAGATGATAGAAGCAGCTGCTAAGAATCCGATCTGGTGAGAACGGGAACGAGGAGGCGGTGGCCCGGAGAAGGACGGGGCGGAGGGGTTCTGAGCAGCGATGGTCAGGGACAACGCCACCGAGTAAGGAATGTGGTTGTCGAAATCTGGCTTTTATACCGAGGGGTAGTTTCGAGACTTCGTGCATAAAGCGCCAGTGTCGTCGACATGGCTAATGTTCATTTGTTTCGCGGGTACACGTGTAAGGTTGAGCATAGGGTTTGGACATTCAAAATTTGTTATAAGATTTCTTACCATAGGCCTCTTTATTTTATTTATCAAATAAATGATTTTAATTTATAATTTTAGATAAATATTTTTTATTTTAATGTCATAACTACTAGGAAAATGTTGATATAATCACTTAATTATTGTGTACTTATATATGTAATACCTACACAATAATTTTTACATACGTCACATTTTCTTTATAAAAATATATATTTCAATTTTTAAAAATTGAAATAATAGTATTTATAATATGATATGAAAATTTTGGATAATATAAATGTAAATTTAAAATTTAAGTGTAAATATATACTAAGGAATTAAGTGTAATGCATGCAAATGTCCCTATTTTTTATTGTTTGAAATGTATACTTGGTAGAATAATTTTAAAACAAAAATAGGTTGTTTATTGCCATTTAATAAAAATCATATTTTTTATATTTAAAATAATGTAGTATTATATATTAAAAGCTAAAACACGTCACACGTACACACATACACGTGCATACACATCTATATAGTGCTTTTAGTGTCCACCAACACTGTCATTGTTGGGTCTCAAGCCTAAAATGTGAAAAGTTGAATATTGTGTTAGGTAGACGACAGGTGTAAAACTTGTCAAAAACTCGTGACATGAATCCTTTAGATTTTGTATAAATGTTAGGGTGTCCTTTAAAAGCGATGTGTTATATGACTTAAATACAATGAAAAGTATACAAGGGCTACTGCACTAGCACCCGGACATAGTTTTGAATAAGCACGGGTTCCCACATTACGGCGGGATGCGAGTTAAAAAGTTAGTCCATGAAACAAATATGAGGATATGATCTTGGAACAACAATACTCTCACACGTAAATTGGCACAATTAGTTGTTATTATGGTTCATAGAAAGATAAATATCTTTTGTATGCAACAAATTAAATGGGTTTAAGAAAAATTTAGGGAGATTAATAGATTAAATTTTAAACTTTGGCATTCTGGTAGGAGTCGCGCTAGAAATAGTGCAGGCATAATTACAGATAAGAGTTTGAAAGATAATGTTGTAAAAATAAATATAGTGAGATATAAAATTACAGCTCTTAAGGTTGTTATTGGTACTAAAATTTTTAATATTGTAAGTGCTCATGCTCCTCAAGTAAGTTTAGATAAATGTTTTGAATAAAACTTTTGGAATAACCTAAAAGAATTAATATAAGTGATATCTCTTAAAAAAAGGATTTTTTATTGGAGGATATTCAAATGAACATATTGGTAGAGTGACATAAAATTTCAAAAATATTAATAGCGGCTACGGTTTTGAAGTGATTAATGAAGAAAGTAAAGTGATATTAGATTTAACTGTAGCATATAATTTTATTATCTCTAATACTTTATTTAAGAAAAGAGATAAATTTATTATTACTTATAAGAATGAACTAATAAAAAACAAATTGATTATTTTCTTATAAGATAATAGATCGTCGAGATTGTAGAGATTGTAAGATTATAACAATTGAGAATTTAAGTGCTCAACATCAATTATTAGTTATGGATTTTAAGATTATGAATTGTAAAATAAAATTACTATAAATACTTGTCATAGAATAAGATGGAAACATCTAAAATAAATAAATAAATTTACTTTTGTGAGTAAACTTTAAAATTTCAATAACTGAGATGTTCATGAAGAGGAAAATTCTATGTAGGATAAAATAACAAATTTTATTAAACAGGTGGCAAGAGTTTAACTTGAAAAATTAAAAGATAAAGTTTTTATAAATAAAAATAGTTGTCGATGGAATAATTAAGTGCAAGAAAAGATAAACTACAAAATGTTGTGTTATAAAAATTTGTTTAAATTTAAAAATTTAGAGAATTGAGAAAAATATATGATTGCTCATATAGAGTCAAAGAGAACAATTTATTACGCTAAAAATTCTAACTTTAGTGATATTTATAATATATTGGATATAAATGAGGGTGAAAATATATGTATAAACAAGCCAAACAAAAAAGAATAAAAGTGAATATTTAACTCAAGTAAAGTGTATCAAAGATGAAAACCAAAAACTATTTTTCTTAGAGGAAGATATTCAACATAGTGAGTGAGCTATTTTGATAGACTTTTCAATGAAATTTCTAAAAATACGATCAACGTACTGATTTTAATATCGTTAATAATAATAAAATATTTATTTTTACAGTCACATTGGTAAAAAAAATGGTGAAGAGGCTTTAAAGAAAATTCAATGTGGAAAATCAGTATAACTTGATGATGTTCCAATTGAAGTGTTGAAATATTAAAAGATTTGAGAGTTTATTGGCTTACTAAACTCTTTCAAATTATTTTAAAAACTAAAACGATATTTGGGGGGTGGAAGAAGAGCATTTTGGTCCCCATTTTTAAGAATAAAGGGGATGCACAAAAGTATGTCAAGTATAGAGAATTTAAGTTGATGTGTCATACTTTAAAATTATGGGAGAGGGAGATTGAGCATAGGATAATACGTGTTGCAAAAATTTCTCATAATCAGTTTGGATTTATGTTGGGCACGTCTACTATGAAATATATACATTTATTTGGAAGGTTTGATGGAGAAGTACAGAGAAAATAAAGATGATCTACATATGATTTTTATTTATTTAGAAAAAGCTTACGATAAGGCTCCAAGAGAAGTCCATTGGAGAGTTTTAGAGAAGAGACGTTGATAAGAATTATATTCAAGTCGTTAAGGATATGTATATTAGTGTTGTTACCTGTGTTCAAACAGAAGAAGGATTGACCAAGTATTTTCCTTTTCAATTCGATGACATTAAGGATTGGCTTGAAACCTATATGGTTTTGCAGCTTTTGCTTTAGTTATGAATACTCTTACTGGACATTTATAGGAGGATGTGCCTTTGTGTATGCTTTTCACTAATGGTATATTTATTGTGGATAAGATTAGACAAAGAGTTTAGGAAAACCTTGAATTATGAATGTCTACATTGGAGCCTAAAGGCCTTTCTTTGAGTTGAACCAAAATTGAATACATAGAATGTAATTTTAGTAGTAATAGCTCTAGTGGTATAGTTTTAACTATAGGTGATCAAATGATTAAAAGGTGTGAATGTTTTCGATAACTCAGGTCTACTTTTCAAATTGTTTCAAATTGATGGTAATATATATGGGGATGCTATTAGTAGAATTCAATTTGGTTGGTTGAAGTGGAGGAATGCATTTGGCTTATTTTGTGATAAAGCATTATCGCTTAGATTTAAAGGAAAATCTTATAAGGTGGTGGTGAGAGCTGCAATGCTTATGGTGCAGAATATTGGCCTTTAAAAGAGAAGCATAAAACAAAGCTAAGTGTTATTTGTATGAGAATGCTTAGGTGGATGAGTGGTTCAACTCCTTGAGACAAAATGCAAAATGAATATGTTCGTGATAGGGTTGGTGTAGCTCCAAGATTAGAGAGAGTTTTCTTTGATGGTTCAACCACATTAAACTTTGACCATCTGATGATCCGATTAAGAGAGTGGATACTTTAGACCTGACTTATGCTAAGAAATGCAAAAGTAGACCTAAAAAAATTTATTTGTATTGTATAAAAAAGGATCTTAATTTATTAGAATTAAATGAAAATATGACACTCAATTTGATGCAAGGAAGAAAAATGATTCATGTAACTGACTCCACATAATGGGATAAAGGTTTGTTCTTGTCGTTGTTATTTTTTCTTATACTATCCACCACATAAATTTCTATAAAACACTACAATGAATAGTAGCCAAACGAGGGTGTAATGATAATATGAAAAATAAACAAAGTGAGAAAACTTCTCATACAAACCCTTAATGAGTTTGGTGAACTTCGCTCAAAAATTTGCTTTGTATCAACCACGGGTCAAGAAATATATCATGATTTTTTAGAATGTGTTTCACCTTTAAAGCCATTTTAGGCCGTAAGATTATTTGCACTACTCCATTTAAAATATGAAAATCAACCAATATTTTTTTCATTTTTTTCACTATTATTGTTAGCATGAAATATGATTTTGAAGACATTTGTTTGGAAGGAATTTGACTTTTTGGTTGTTTAGTTAAAACAAAACCAAATGCAAATTATTTAATCCATGAATTTTGAATTCACCCTTTTGTTAATTTTGTCAAATTTTGAAATCAACTAATTTAAGTTTGATTACACTAGCTCATCTTCCTCACTAATTACTAGCAGTCGTCACCCATTAACCATCGTCAGTTATTGCCATCTTGGTTGCACTCCCTTTATGGCCAAGTACTGCTCACAGCTACTACCACTGATCATTAGCGGCGCAACCACTGCTTGCCTTTATATTTTAAATATTGGTTATTTTTTGTATGTAATCAAACATAAAAAAAAATAAATCTCCTAAATTTCTTTTATAAGGAATCAAATAAAGCCATTCATTGTGGGCCCTTCAAGTTTACATAATTTTTTTTTATTTTTGTTCTTGCCCAATCCACCATTAAATATATATCATGTTAGGCATGGCTCATATACCGTATAAGGGACAGATTTTGGAGCAGAACAGAATATTTTGTCCAAATCATGGGAGTTTCCTTATGTGGGTTCGGGGTGAGGTAAAAAGGTAATTTGGTAATTACATATTGTACTACAGAGTTTTCTAAGGTTATAAATAGACATGTATGTAACCCTAGGTCTTATCCAATATTTTTTATTCTGTACTTTTTTTTTAATATTGAAAGAAAGCAGTCGCTCTGCTCCCAATGACATAGGCATCTTTGTCAAACTTCGTTAAATCTCTGTGTGTTCTTCTGGATTTGTGTCGATTATTATTTTTCTTCACTCTAATTTCTCAACAATTGTATCAGAGCAAGGTTCGAGGGCAGGGAATAAAAATTTTGGTCA